AAAGATGACAAGAGAATCTAAATGGACCAGACCACAATTACCATTAAGCCACTGGTATTGACTATTATCTGTACATTATGAAAAGGTGAAATGCCTTTGAAAATTCATTATCTTATCTATACATGAAATCAATTTAAGTATAAGAGGGTAGCGCTCCAATAATACATATTAGAGTATGGAAAGAAGTAACATTTTTCCTAAAGTGGTATATTCCAGGCAGATGCTTTCATTTTGAAGGTCTGAGACCCTTTATTATACTGCTACTTGCATAAGCCAAAAAACATGATAAAATGTATATATAAGGGTAATTTCCAAGTTTGGACAAAATTGAGGCAAAAGGAATTGAGCCAGCCCCTCTTTTCTATCAGAATAGCTTTGAGGCAGAATGCTTCATTGTCTGTGGTTCTTAAACAATCATGGCAATTGAGTATTTCCACTTCCCTCCCCCTGCTTGCTACATGGACTGCAGGGAGGCACATCTGGTTGTTAGCAACGGTTTTGAGCCATCGATGTTCAACCAGTACCTTTATCCAAGACTTGATTCGAGTATGTATATGTGTTTGCCTCGGAGAGATGCTTTCTCACCACTAATACAGAACAGGCTCCTTTGTTATTCTTACCCCTGATTCACACACAAATCCTCGGCACCCAGTGTCTGCATCTTATTTAGATTTGCATGGAAAATAATTATTTAATCCAAATGATTATTATATAGAAAGTTAGCCCAGACAATTCTTTTCCCCAAATATAGATCCTGTCACCAAGGAATTAAAATCCAGAAGCCAGATCCACAGTAATTGGTAACACATGTCATCAATGAAATGGGAGGGTTCACTCAGTCATATCACATCCTCAGATGCCTGTGTCATGTGGTCGTCACAAAACTCTCTTGACATTTCCATGTATGGCCAGCTCAGTGGCCTCAAATTAAAAGATGCTATATTTTTTGGATTTGCTCTGTGGTGATGAGAAGTGCTAAAAATTGTGAACTATTACAGCTTGAAAAACATGAAGTCAGACACTACATAAATCACAGCCATGCAAAGCTTCTAATATCCATTTCTCCACTGAAAAACTTCTAATTCTAAACTGTTGGGATAAATCAGTGGTGATTAATCCTCAACATTGCAAAAGAAGAGTGTTTTTACTACTTCTCAACCATAATTAGTTAATATTGACTAGAAAGTTTTCAGTGAAAAAGCCTACTATAATATAAATTCTCTGAACAACTTAATGCTTACAGATTCAGCTTTTCTGTGTCTTTTATATAAAACCAGCAGCCAAAATTGGCATTTGCATACAAAGTATATTGGGATAATTTAAAAATATGGAAGTCTTCTTTGCTAAGTCCAAAAGAAGAAGGAAGGAATTGCCACACACAGTGGCGCATGCCTGTAATCCCAGCACTTTGGGAGGCCAAGGTGGGTGGATCAGGCCATAAGATAGAGACCAACCTGACCAATACGGTGAAACCCTGTCTCTACTAAAGATACAAAAATTAGCCGGGCATGGTGGCAGATGCTGGCAATTTCAGCTACTCGTGGGGGCTGAGGCAGGAGTAACGTTTGAAGCTGGGAGGCAGAGGTTACAGTGAGCTGAGATTGCACCACTGCACGCCAGCCCAGGCAACAGAGCAAGACATCATTAAAAAAGGAAGGGACTGCTTTAAAAGAATGACTAATCAACTTTTCAGGTTCTTTCAAAATATGATTACATAGATATTTTTACTAACCTTAATTCCCTCAGGAGAAAACTCTAAAAGACCAGGTATAGCAAATGCATACTGACATACTGAGAGTTGTGACTGGGAGTGCTTGGGGAATAAATTACTTTGTTCTTTGATTTAGAACAGTGGGCAAAGTTTCTATTGCCCATTTCAGGAAAGTGAAAAGCAATAAGAAATTAAGCAACCTAACACTACAGCTGTGCTGACCGTAACTTAATTTTGCCCTATTCAGAAATAATTTTACTGTGGGGATCACACTATTGGGTTCAACAACCACTGGCAGTTGTATGACTTTATAGCAGGTATAAGCGAGAATCTTGATTGAAATTTACCTTAAGTCTGCTGGTATTTATTTTACTTAAAGTTATCTTTATTCTCTCTTTTTATTAGAAATGCTTTTCTCTTATGAACACACATGAAAATTATAATTTGAATTTTCCTGATGAATGTCAGACATTTCTGAAACATTCTCATCATTTAGAAGATATAACAGACATATTTGATTCAAAGAGTTTTGTGAATAATTGTTCACAGCCATTTAATTGTTCTGTGACTACTAAAGTCAGCTCAATGTTTTATGACAATAGAGGCCAAAAATGGGTAATCCAAAAACTAGTCTTATTTTCCCTGAAACATATGTTTATAGTTGGATTTGAATAAGTGTATATGCTGTTGTAATAACTCATCTGAAACCGAAAAATGTTCAACCATAAAGACATGACTCCAAAAGTCTTCCTATTTCCCATCCCAGCTCAGCAGCTCCTTATAAACCTGCCCTTGCTGGAAAATGCCTATACTTTCTAAAACTAGAGCTGTTTTCATTTTCAAACATTCTCTGGAGCAGTGCTTCCTCCCAGTGGCTAAGGGTCTGGGTTATAAAAGGACTTTTCTGTATGCAAAGAAAACAAAAACATTAGCATAAGATCAAGCCTTAATTAAGCTAATGACCATAGAGTAATAGGTAATATGGTAGCAAACTGGGTTAAATGGAAAATGAAGATTAAACAGCCAGAGAAAGCAATTTTATCTAACCAGCACTCCTAATTTCAAGTTAGCTCACAGTATTTTGGAAAGCTGGACAGCTAGATAGTTCTACGTAGTTCATACATGCATGGTTTTTATTCTATGTGTCGAACCTGGAGGGAACTTGCTATTCCTTTGCCTTGAGTTTGGATGCCCAGACGGTCACACAGCTTGCTCTCTCACTCCTTTCTGATTCGTGATGCAATGTCACCTCCTTAGGTAGACCTCTTCTGGCCACCCTCTCTAAAGAACTTCCATCACTCTCAATCCATGAACCCCCTTTAAATTTCGGTCATGGCATTAACACTCTCTCATATCACATCATATATTTGTCTATGTGTTTATTGTAGTCCCCCTCTCCAATGACATAAAAGAACATGAGCTCCATGAAGACAGGGATTATGCCTTTTTCTAACATCTGGAATAGTGCCTGATGCCTAAATCTCACTTAATAAATGTTTGTTAAATTAACACATGAATAACAAAGATTCGATAATAAAATGAACTATTAAAAATGAGAATGACTTAATAATTATTTAAAAGGTGGATTCCATTACATTAAAAGTACTTCATCTTTCATCAAGTTGAGGTTTTGCTTACTTTCCTTTATACTTTCTCCTTTTTTCAAAAAGCATACATAATTTCATGTTACTTAAAAATTTATTAAAAGGTATTAATAAAATAGATACCAATGAGATAAGAGAAGATAATGAAATCTGCCTTTATCAGGAGCTTATCATATCATATGTACCTTGCTAGGCCACAGGCCACATACACTCTTCACCTCATTAGGTCCTCACAGCACGGTGGGGATTGGGAGATGGATCCCACTTTACACAGCCAGAAAGTGGCAGAGTCTCAAATGATCTCAACATGAATCATGTTTCCCCACACGACGCTGGTTCACTAACAGACTTTGTAAAGTTCCAAAAATTTTATACTAGAACTCAGAAAGCCCTAATGCAATTACAGAAAGAAAAGATTCCAATTAAAACTGTGTACTAAGAAATGTAGATTTTCTGTTAATTGTATAATAAATCTGCTCGCATTATTCTCAAGTGATCTTACCCAACCAAT